GATAATACTTTTTTATAGCATGCTTAGTAAACTCTTATTTATTCCAAATTATGAAAAAAGAAAATCTCATATTTTTGTTTGTTTTAAAATCTTTTGTATTTAAATCTCAGGTCCATTTCAGAGATTTTCTTCTTTAAGTACTGATAGCAATCTAGGTTAATCAATTCTTAAAGGTATAAAAATCAAGATTTGGAAGTAGAAATACTTACATTAAGATCCCCACAATCCTATTACAGCAGCCAAGACAGAGTTATAGCACAGCCTGCTGAGTTTAGTGAGAGCAGCCTATCTCTAAATAAGAAATGAAAAGTGGACTGGGGCTATAACTCAGTGTGAAGGCTGTCCCCTCAATTGAATGAAGTAATTGTGGTGACAGTTGAGTGATGTGAAATATTATGGAAATTTAAGAGCTTATCTGGGTCATGAAGCATTTAATAAAGCATTTAATTCCATTGATGTCTTAGAATCTTAAGATAATTAGTGTTTAGAAATCAGACTTTATAAGCACAACTTCCATTTAAAATTCATAATTGTGCGGAAGATACCTTAGATGTTAAATCAGTATTTTTTACAGTATTATTTTCACCAGAATTAAGTAATTATAATGGTTGTTTTGATGGCTAAAAAAATATATAAAGTATGTGTATAATATATTTTAAACACATTATACACATGTAATACACATGCAATATACATGTACATAATGTGTATACATACATGCAAAATACATGTACATATATGTGTATGTATTTTAAGATATCTTGCATGTTTTTAATTTTTTTCAGTTCTTAGGGGAAAAATGTTCATTGACAGTGATACGTTATTTTAACTTTAGCCTATTATTCATAAATGAACTTTTTTGTTTCTCTAATTGCTAACATGTTACCCACATCATAGAAATTTTGTGACAGTAAGCATCATCCAGCAGTTTTTTTTTTTAATCTTAGTAAAAGTTTCTGACATGGTGCATTGGAAAATGGTTGCCCCTGAAAATTAAATAAGAGGCAACACAAGATGAGATCAGTTTTTAGAACAACCATCAATTTTCAGAGAATGGCTGGTAGAAATTTTACTTTTTGTGAAATGAAATGGAAACTTTCTTTTGAACTTCATGTCCACCCACACTGAATGTTTCTGCATAAAAGGGATGCTACTTCTTTCTTACATATGCCAGTCAAGCTTCTTTTCTTATGAATCTGCTAGTTAAATTAGAATTTTAATAATTCTAACATGGAGAAGTCTATATGAAATTTCATAATAAATGAAAGAACTGATATTTTAAAACATTTATTATGAAGTAAATCACTTAGATAGATACACTGTCACAAAATTTAATGAATAACTATAGAAAAGAATATCATTGCAAATACTACCCTGCAAGCGTTAAACCACTGCTGGTATCCTAGAAGATGCCAGTAAGTTGGTGGGTGTTTTACTTACTTTCTCATTGCTGGGACAAAATACCCGACACACAGGTTAAAGGAGAAAAGGTTTATTTTGGCTCCCAGTTTGTTAAACTTTCAGTCCTTAGTTGACTGGCTCAAGGCAGGGCAGCATGTAGAAGAGAAAGAGTTCATAGAAGCAGGCAGGAAGCAGCAAACCTCCCTTTTTCTTTCGCTTTTTATTTCATCCAGGATATAAGACTGTTGGTTGGTGCTACCTCAGGGTGGGTCTTCCCTCTCAAGAAATTCTCATTAGTACCCAGGACTATGTTAAACCAATCAGTGGACTAATGCAGTATCCATACCTATGATTTAGTCACTTCCCGAAGTTTCACCTCTGTGCACATGAGGCTTTGGGGATTCATCTAGATAGAAGCCATAACAACTGGGAGATATATCTTAACAAAATTTTACCCTGTATTAAGATCATAATCATAGGAATATCCCATATAGGTATTGATGTAGGGAGAAATAGGGAGGAGAATGAGAGTTTTAAGTATAAAAACAAAAATAAACCAAACCAAACTGAAGAACCCACCACTGCATCCAGAGAAGTTAAACAAAATAAACAAAAATTCAATTTTATGTTTTATATAAATTTTATTTGTGCATGATGTATGAACAAATTTTAAAAATAGAAGAAAGAAAATACTAGCACACACCATGTTTAAATGACACTTCTTAAATGTGTTAAATTCTGAAGTGATTAAAGCTACTGTTTAGTAGAATTACACAGATTTCCAATCCCCAGGGATAAGACAACATGAGAAAGAACTTTTTTTGTGCTGTTATAAATAAACATAATGGACCACATTTAATGTAATGAAATATAAATTATCTTGAGAGTAGGAGATGCTGAGATATTATAATTACGAACATGATAATTTCCTCTGACTAGTATCTAACAAAATTCTCAAGAAAGATAATTTTAACAATTGGGTATCTGAGTTCTATTTTATATTACTTTTACATTTGATAACGATGATTGTTAAAACATAGAAAGTATGACTAAGCAAATGTATTATTCATTTGTTGCTGACAATGTCTTGGATATAGTTTGGCAGTGTAAAAATCAGAATATCTATCTATCTATCTATCTATCTATCTATCTATCTATCTATCTATATATATATACTTTTAGCACTGTGAAATTAGTCCTGATCCGTTGATATCTCTCTCCTCTTTATCTAAATGGGTTGCTAATTTCTGGGGTGGTTCAAGTACTGTCTGAGGGGATCATCTTGTTATATTGCCTATAGATTTGATTACACTAGGTGAGGCTTTCCTCTTTCCATTTATCCCGATTGATTCTCATAAACATTTTTGATGGGAAAAAAACGGCCTAGATGTACATTTCAGTTTCAAACTAAACCTGTTTAACATTCGAAGATTGGTAGGTAAGGGCTGGGGATTTAGCTCAATGGCACCGACTGTTGAGAGAAAAAAGAGAGAGGGAGGGAGAGGGAGGGGAGGGGGAGGAACAAGGAGAACTCTTGGTTTCAGTAATGGAATAAGATTGCATTTAATTTTTTTATGTGTGTGTATGATACTGGAGATTAAACCCACAGCCTTCACAATGAGCTACATCCCCAGCCCTTCTTTTTTATTTTTTAACGCAGGGACAGGGTCTTGCCAAGTTGCTGAATCATCTAGACTGAGCTCAAATTCATGATCTTCCGGCCTGTCTTCCAAATTGCTAGTATTGCAGGCATGTACAACACACCCAGCTCCATTCATTTTTCTTATCCATTATTTTAAGAAGAGCTTGCCTGTTTATACTCCTTAGTTTCTCTCTATATTAGCCTGCCATTAGAGAGTCTATAATTTAGGCTTAGTTATTCTTTTCTAAATGTAAAAGTTTAATTTCTCTCTATATATATATGTACATATTCATATATAGATATAGATATGTATATAGATGTATTCTGTTAACAAGTCTGTGGAAAGCCAGATATATTATGAAATACCTTTAACATGGCAGAACCAGTCTACAAAGTCTGTCTCTGAGGATTTGATAAGGGCTTGCTTTTTGCTTTTGTTAGGGAGACTTGAAGTAGGTCTCAGGTATGACCTTTATGGTGTTTCATCTGGATGCCCATCTGTCACAAATTGTTAGGAAAGTGTTTCCACACTTTCTCTTTGGTGTCATGCTGCTTTGGGTTTAATTTCTTGTTAATGGACCCAAAAATACATCTATTGAAAAATCTGAGTTAGATCACTCAGCCCTATTTCTGCAAAGATGAGCAAAAGGCATCATCTGATTAAAGGCAGGATTCAAAATATTCAGAATTTTTTCCTTTCATATAGTAAATAAATGTCTCCTCTTTTACCCCTGGTAATGAAAAAAAAGTTAAGATTCTATTATGTACCTTTTGTTTATAAAATTTTAATACTTAATTTTAATATGTTGATTTGGTCATGATGTATATTTTCAGTGCATATTCTCTTTTGTATTTGGAACTGTAAGTGAAAATGTAAAATGTATTTTGAAAAGTGTAAAAATATTTTGAAAGTACATTTCTAAATATTTTAAAAGTACTTTTTTCCCTAAATGTTTTAGAACAATAATTTCTACATACCTTCTTTGATCCCCACATTATATTGTGAATATGTTTACTTAAATTATTTCATTGAATATAATTTTTATAATCCATTGAGGTAAGCATCAGTTTTACAGAAAAGAAAATAGAATGTCAAAGTAGTGACTTTCTCAAAGTCACTATAGTTAATGTGTGGTGCAATTAGAGTTAGAAATGACTTAGAATGTCTATCAGATTCCACTGTGTATATTCTTATAAATTGTAAAGAATTAAGTGTTCAAATACATTCACACAAGATAATCAATTTTGTATTACTTCCTGAAACCTGTTGCCATATTGTTTTTTAAAATTCTAGAATGCAGTCATTTTTTACAATCGTTGATTTTGCTTTCTTCTCTGAGAATGCTGTTTTTAATGTGGTGCTTGTTTTAAGAGGATAGGAGCTCTTAAAGGAAGCTTAAAAATAGATAAAATCACTGCCTTGATTGAATGAAGATCTAGGATTTCAGGAGAGAGAACTGGAAAACTGAGGAGAGAGATATGCATTATGAATATTTTGCCATTAATAGATATTCACTCTTAAGTTGTCATATTCCAGTATGGAGGTGAAGTTAAGGAGTATTTTGAATGAACATGTAGATGTGAGCAAAGAAAGAAAAGATTGGAGGAGATACATAAAGATAAAAAATAAAGCTAGAACACTATGGATTTTAATATAAAAGAATACTACTAGAAAATGACTTTTCTTGAGGGCTGGAGGAAAGAAGGAAATAACTGATTAATCTATACTTAGAGTACAGTTGTGCCTACTAAGTGAAATTTATTTTAAAGGTTTAATTAGGTTAGAAGTAGTTGAAGGAATGTAATAAAAATATTGATATATGTAATGTGATTGCAGAACCCATGGCTACATGGTAAAGTGGGGCATGATACTTTTATGTAAGGCATTATTTTAATTATATCTTTTTACCAAAGGAAAAAGCAAATTAATAATATATTTGAACTATTTTCCTTGAAGTTGGACATGAAAATAAAAATGGTGGAAGCAAAATTTCATGAAGAAAAACTTAAGCTACAACAGAAACATGATGCAGATGTTCAGAAGGTAAGGATTATATCATTAATTCCTTTTATTTTTGTTGAATGTTTAAAATATTCTAGGGCTTTTGATAATCTGTCAGTTTGTGTATCCATCTTTCCACCTACTTGTTCATTAGACTGTATATATGAAATTTGCTAAAGCGACATCTAACAAAAATTGATCTGTAAACTTCATTTGCTAAAAAATTTATTTTGAACCTTATATTATCTTTTACTTCTTCTAACTATTACTTTAAGCCTGGACTGAAAGTTTTCAAATCTTTATTCTATCACTAACTTTTACAAAAGTTGAAATAATTGAAATAAGATACTAATGTGAATACTAAAACTTCTTTTTTCCAAATATTCTTTCAGTTTTTTTATAATTATAGTTTTCTTTTTTAATTTTAAAGGAGCTCTTGGACTTAGACCTGTTTGGTATAAACTGCATGCTAGTACTAACAATGAAGGTTTCTTTTTTTGAGTGGCTCTTTGAGATTCATACTTTCCCATCTTTCAGTCTTTTTTAAAATAAAATTTATTTTCTTCCTAAGTGATTCAGCAAAAATAAATCCTGCATGAAATTTGAGCTGATACTATATTTTTGTAAAGATCAAATAATATATAATTATGTAATGTGAAATAATGTTTGTGTGTTTTAAATACATAAGGATGATCCAAATAGAAATTTTGAGTATATTATTTCAAAACTAAGCAGAAGATTTTGCTTCCTCAAAACTAAGTAAAAGACAGAGATGAGTAGTTCAGGCTGCAACAGTACATATCCAAGCTTATCAAAATGGAAAAATATATTAATATTTGCCAGGTGCATATTTGACTCATCTTTAAAAGCAGCAAGAAGGAAGCCAATGATTGCATATTAAAAAGAGAAAAAAATATTGAGTTTTTTCTTTCCAACTGTCCCATTCAAATGTTAAAGGCAAATGTTACTTTTTGTTTTTATTAGAATTTTACTTTAAGTTGTTAAGATAAAACAGTTCTCTATCACAAATATTTTGGTAATGTAATTTTAATATATCCAAATGAAATAGAATCTTACTTTGTAAGATGTGAATATAAAAGATTTGGAAAGATAATGATGATAGTGTATAAAATAGGCTTCTCAAGTACATTTTACACAGATCTATTCTATGACTGCAGAACCTGGAAAAGCTGTTGCTGCTATCGATGCATAACATACTGCTATTATTAGTCTTTTTATATAAATA